TGGTGAAGGGGTGGGGACTGGTAAAGGAGGCAGAGTATTGAAGTAAATGGGACTGGTGAAGGGCCTGGGAGGACTGGCAAGAGGCTGAGAGGTCTGGTGAAGGGGCAGGGGAGTTGGTATAGGGAGGCTGAGGTCTGGTGAAGGGCAGGAGTATTGAGTAAAAGGGACAGAGGCGGGGGACTGGTAAGGGGCAGGGATTGGTAAAAGGGACTCATGAAGGGGTCACAGGGACTGGTGAAGGGGCTGAGGGACTAGTGAAAGGAGTTAGGGAGGTCTGAGTGAAGGGGCAGAGGGACTGTAGTGAAGGGAGTTGGGGATTGGTAAGGTGGACTGGTGATTGAAGAGGTGCACAGGGACGGCTGGTGAAAGTGCGCAGGGACTGGTGAAAGGAATTACAGGAAGACTGTTGAAGGGCATGGGACTGGTGAAGAGGGGCTGGAGATTTGATGAAGGGGCAGGGTATTGGTAAAAGGGACAGGGGGCGGGGAGACTGGTGCAAAGGGGGCAGAGGATTAGTAGGGACTGATGAAGGGGTCTGGGGACTGAGGTGAGAGGGCTGGGGATTTGTAAGGGACTGGTGAAAGGGGGCAGGGGATTGGTAAAGGGGACGGTAGAGGGGGTCTGGTGAAGGGGGCAGAGGGCGGGTGAAGGGGGCTGGGAACTGGTGCAGGGAGCAGGGGACTGGTGAAGGGTGACTGGGGACTAGTGAAGGGAGTTAGGGGTCTGGTGAAGGGGGCAGGGGACTGGTAAAGTGGACTGGTGAAGAGGGGCTGGGGACTGGTGAAAGTGCGCAGGGGACTGGTGAAGGGTGCAGGAGACTGTTGAAGGGGGGCATTGGACTGGTGAAGGGGGGCTGGAGATTTGATGAAGGGGGGCAGGGAACTTGATGAAGGGAATGGTAGGGGTTTGGTGTAGTGGACAGTGTTATATGGGAGTTAGTAAAAAAAAAAACCCTAGGATTGTCCTTCCTTGCATCACTTTTGGTAGGTACTAACCACTGCATACCGCGAACACCCCACAAGCCTTGCCGTTTTGGAGATGCTCTGACCTAGTCATCTAACCATCACTATTTGGCCCTTGTCGCTCATATCACAACACTCATTAGTTGATTTGCCCTCGTGCAGTACCCACACTCACCACTATCACTGTTTGGCACTGTTTCTAATTTCTTTTCATTAGCACTTCATCTGGTCCTTGTTTTAGCACCCATATAGTCTTGTTTTTCACCTCACTCCTTGTCAGATCATTGTCTCTTGTAGTTTTGACTTCTTGATTCTGCATTTCCTGATCATGTCTTCGCGTGTCTTCTTGGTGTTGTGTTTCCGTGTCCCCCTGGTCCGGTGTTCCTTTGTCCCCCCAATCCTGTGTTCTGGTTCAGTGTTCCTGTCATCTGCCTTATTACCAGTGATCCTGACCCTGTAGCCTTGTTCGTTTGTCGTACTTCGGGCTTTGCTTCCTGGTGTCATGGTTTGCTTTGTGGCTTAGGATCTGTGTCCCACCTATTTCTAGTGGTGACTGCACAATCCTGCCCAAGTACTTTACTTACCAAAGGACTATTCAAGTATACTCCGACTGCACAAATTGTGGTTATCTTGATATTTTTTTTTTTGTATACATTATTCTGTGGCATTGTGTATATTTTATATGTTGTTTTGTTCCTATATCCTTTTGATTGGTGTGTATATATATTTATTATTATTATTATTATTATTATTATAATATTTTTTTTTCTTGATTTAATCCATTTGTGTCTTTGCATTATTTATTTGCTAAATTGGTTCCCACATTTAAAGGGACAGTGCTGTTCCAGGGCAGCACCCCTTCATGTCATTACAGCTCAGATCTTTTTTCGCTTGCCCATTTAACCTGCTTTCAATAAATGAAAAATCAGTTGCTGCCTAATGTATCCTACCTCTTGACAGGTGACATTGTAACGATATAATCCATGTTATTCACTTCACCTGTCACTGGTTTTAATGTTGTGGCTGATCAGTGTATATAGACATATTTAGACCGTATCTAAAAAAAACCAAAAGTTACTCACAGAACTTGTTGCAAAAATATAAACCGTGTGTGTATATATATATATATATATTTTTTTTTTTATATATGTACTGTTTCTGAAAACAAAGTACCTGCCCAACAACTTAATGTATATGTAATATGTGCATTAGAAAGTTAAAAACATTAAATAATCACTTACTCTATACTGGTGAACAAGTGCCAAATTATTACAACATGAGACATTTTGGATAAAAACTTTAAATAAAATTCACCATATGGGTTAAATGAGAGAGTCTGTCTGTCTTTCACCATTTTGGATCCTCTTAATAAGAGCTGCTTATTTTTATTCTCATTTTGCAAGTTTACTAATAGAAAAGGTGTGTAATATGTAACCCTGCTAACAATAAATATCATAGTTGGTTTCTTATTGTTAGGATGGGTTATTTTTGTCAGACGTGGTGTTTGGTTTGTTTTTTTTTGGTTTTTTGGGGTTTTTTTTTCAGGTTTTACGCAATAAGAAACTTTGCAATATGGAATCCTGTTATAGATTATTATATCGTGTGTGTATATACTCGAGTATAAGTCAACCCGAATATAAGTTGAGACCCCTAATTTTACCCCCAAAAACAGTGGAGCTGAACGGCACGGAGGAGAAGGGAGCTGACCGGAGCTGCTGTAAAGGTAAGTAACAGCTCGCTGCCAGCCCCCAACAGGACCGTCGGGCTTGTAATGAGCCCGGCGGTCCTGGTCTGTATTATGGCAATGTAAGTTACCATAATACAGACATTGACTCGAGTATAAGACGAGTGGGGGGTTTTCAGCACAAAAAATGTCCCGAAAAACTCGTCTTATACTAAAGTATATACGGTAGTTGGTTTCTATCTAATTTTCTACTTATTTTTTTTTCCTTTGCTGGATAATGTAATATAAACAAATTAGATCTGTTGGATTATTTAAAAAAAATAAAAATAAAATATGGGTAGTCTTTCCCCTGCTAAATGAATGCTTAGGATTGGTTTTTGTATTCTGGGTTAATAGTGCACTTATATTTAATTTAATATTCGTACCTTCAGCAAACTCTCTTAATCCAGCTTGAGATCTTTGTAAAAATTGGGATTAACTAGGAGTATTCACTGGTATATTGTTTATGTAAACTGTAGTTGGTGATATATTTATACAGTTATCTTTCATAATACTTTTACTCTGTTGTTACAGAACGTTTGAAAATGATTTATTCATTCACCGGTGTTTCTGAGCTTACACTGGTTCCAGCCTCTGGGAGTAGAGTGAACACAGAAGTAAATTATTTAAGTTTTTTGTGTGTGTGTGTCTTGAGAAAGGACCCGGTAATGTCCGAAACGTTGTCTTACCTGTTTTTCTGCTGAAATTTAATATTTACATTGTTTATATCTTTTTTCAAATGTGAGTGTCAATCATCTTCTGAAACTGGAAGTTTATATCATATGTATAGAGCATCCGGGTATTACATTGGGTAATAAAATATTTTAAATTTACAAGTGAGTGGTATATAGCTGAAAAAAATGTTCTAATACATCACCTGCATATCTCAAGTTGGACTTTGAGGGTTCTTCTTAGGTACAGAAACTGGAGAAATTATGTTTCCGCAACTATCCCAGAGTTCCCAACTTAATTTGCTAATGAGCACAGATAGGCATCATATCCCTCTCACTTAATCCATATCCACTAGTGGCATATTGGTTATATATGACTAAGACAAATACCCTGAAAGATTGTAATTTTGTGGCATCCTCCCATGTCTGAATAAAGTAAAGGAGATTTGATTTTGACACTTGTGTAAAACTTTTTTTTTCTTTCCTACGTGGGCGTGGCATTGCCTTTTTAGATTGTTGATTTTTCAGCCTAACCTCACGATGAGCTGTTTTGCTCACATTAACACGCCACCATGCTCACATTGAAGGTAAATACAAACAGAACCTAGTTGCAAACAACACATCTAAAATCACCTCTAGATATTTTGTTAGCCCCTTGTGCATGAGCAAAAATTGCAACAAGTACTCGGTTAAGAAACACAAGAGAAGCCAATTGTCCAATTAATTTTGGTTTCCTGAAATCCCAACACTGATTAGTTTGTGAATCTGCTGATTGTCTTCTACATTTAGTATATTCATTGTCCAAATAGTTATGACTTACAATACATCTAGAATGTAGATAAGAAATGCCTGTGTATATGGGTGTTTTTAATTGGTTTTCTTTAAATGGTTTTCTGGACATAAGAAACAACCTTCTTATTGTACACATTTTGTAAAACTGTAAATTGCCATAGACCAGTGATAGCCAATAGGCAGCGCTCAAGTGTGTGTTTGTTTTTGTTTTTTTAAATAAAACTTACCAAGAAAGGTTAAAGGATCTTAACATGTATAGCTTGGAGGAGAAACGAGACAGGGAGGACATAATAGAAACATTTAAATACATAAAGGGAATCAACACAGTAAAGGAGGAGACTATATTTAAAAGAAGAGAAACTACCACAACAAGAGGATAGATTCTTAAATTAGAGGGGCAAAGGTTTAAAAATAAAATCAGGAAATATTGCTTTACTGAGAGGGTAGTGGATGCATGGAATAGCCTTCCAGTTGAAGTGGTAGAGGTTAACACAGTGAGGGAGTTTAAGCATGCGTGGGATAGGCATAAGGCTATCCTAGATTTAAGATAAGGCCAGGGACTAATTAAAAGTATTTTGAAATATTGGGTAGACTAGATGGGCTGAATGGTTTTTATCAGCCATCACATTCTATGTTTCTATGATATTTAGCAAGATGAAGCAAAACATAATGAAAGCATTTCTACAAGAGTGAGACTGCTGCCATTTTGTGACCCAAATTGAGTGATCTATTAAATTGTACATAATTTGGAGTTTAAAAAAATGTCTGAGAAATAAGGGTTTTATTTGAAGGCGCGTTTTATTAGATACATTTTATTTCTGACATGCAGGATAAGATGTGGCAAAAATCAGTTTAATGATAGCCGTGGCTGAGACCATCCACCACAACTGCAAAGAATTTATCTATGGCGGCTTGAACTGAAGGCGTGAAAGAAGATCCTAGTTTATTAGCCAGGACAATCACGAACACTTCACTGAAACGCTGCAAAAAGCACAATATAAAGCATTAACTGAGGATGGTCTATAGAGCTTTAATTCCACCATAATAAATATGTTTTTATCAAATAAGTAAACATTTTCCATACCTATGTTTTTCTATTGCAACCTTACAGAAAATATTTTTTATTACCAGCCATAAACTGATACAAAATTAATTAATAAAAATACCAATAATAAAAATAATAAAAAGTAAGTATAAAAAATGTTAGTCAATTAGTTGGACAAAATTGTAAATTACTATGCATAACTACCTGACTATTGAAAGTATTACATTAAAGAGATAAAATAATTATACAATACATAATAAAATACATAAAAATAATAAATACATAAAATACATAAAAATAATAAATACATACCCTGAAATTCTCTGGATCCACATACAGTTTGTTGGCATGGTCATCACTGAGGTCGTGTAGAGTGGTCTTAATGGTATCCAAGTGGTGGGCTGCATTGTTAATCGCTCCCAGGACCTTCTTGCCGTGGGCCTGTACTTTGGAATTTCCAGCAATTGCGGATGCGTTGGACAGGTCTCCGAAAGAACTGAAATACCTCTGGGTCCAAGGGTTCACAAGGAGCAGTCTAATGAGAGAGAAAAGCAATTTTCAAATAGAATAAATACATTTCTGACTAGGCAATAGATTTAGCATGTTTCTGTAAAGCACTTTTATTATAATAAAACTGTATAACATATGTTAAAACACTTTAAAAACAAACAAAAACAAAACATAAATATCTCTAATGTAAAATAGAATACATGTCCAATTCTAAAAAAACAGTAAAGGACTCATTTTAAGCAATTTTGCTTATTCAGTATCTATAAAAATATATGATTCATCCAGAAATAAATTTCTTAGGTTAGGTATATTTAAACAATTAATCAAAAGACAAAACTGAAAACTGCAAATATTCAAAAAGCAAAACATTCAAATAATGTAGGTACCACCTCTAGTAATTAAATATAACCAACCATATATTTCTATTTTATGTAATATTTCTATACAGATATAAGACTGTTTCTTCAGTGAAAATAGTAACTAGCATTCTAACCTTCCAAGGGCATCTCCACCATCATGCTCAAGATCAACTTTGCCAAACACAGATACGATGGTGGCCTTCTCATCGGATGTCCAGTGAACCATTGCGGCTATTAGAGAGATGAGTAGCTCAGGATTCAGTGAGAAGTAAAAGAATCTGAAAAACAAGTATTTTATCTCTGGTTTTTAAAGGAAATTGACCCATGTCCCACCTACCATGGCAGGCTTTGTCAGCCCTTTTTCTTTTTGGTCCAGCTAACATTATTTGCTGCTGATAAGAGGAGACAGGAGATGGCTGAGTTTGCTACTTTGTATCACACAATTTCCAATCCAATAAAGTCCATTGTTATTGCAAAAAAAATTCATTCATTCATAAAAAAAAAAAAAATAATTATATATATATATATATAAATATATACAGGTAGCATGAAGATAGCACTCTCTGGACTCAATATATTTAAAGTAAAACTTAACTTTTAATGTCCACAGTTAAGAGATCGCCGTTTCAGTTTGCAACCCAAACTTTCATCAGGATCTGATCCATCCTGATGAAAGTTTGGTTTGCAAACTGAAACATCGACCTCTTAACTGTGGACATTAAAAGTTAAGTTTTACTTTAAATATATTGAGTCCTGAGAGTGCTATCTTCACGCTACCTGTACATTTTTACTGATAAGTACCGGGCAACGACACCAGTAAGCTGGAGTGCAAAACTATTTTTTATTTTTCTATACATATACATATGTTCATTCTAATATGTATAAAATCAAAAAATACAAACACAACCAAAATAGGAAAAAATTTGAAAAGTGAAAAAAAAAAATGTGATAGCTACAATCCGCATACAATAAAGAAAATCATTACTCATTCATCACCACCTTTTCTAAATGCCATCACACTTTATTTTTGGCATTACTGAATTGCAAAAATAGGAACATTTGTATGAATTTAATGTATAAAAATGTTAGTTTGAATAGGTCTGCGTAAAAGTGTATTTATATGTACATTGCTTGCATTCCTAGTTGTTTTAGATGATGCCCAGTGCTGGTCTTGGCAGAATGAATAGAAATTTACAGGAAAAAATGCACTAGTGGGACTTGAATATGCTGAATAAAATGTAGGTTTAATTTAATCCAAAGAAAATGTCGACGTTTCAGATCCAAATTTGTCTGATGAAAGCTTCATGTTGGATATAATGCCAAAATATCAGAACATTGCAGTATGCAATGATACCATTTTATTGGACAAACATAATATTTCAAAGACAAGCTTTCAAGAGTTTTCCCCTCCTCCTTCCTCAGGATAAGTCTTGAAAGGTTGTCTTATATTATGTTAGCCCAATAAAAAAGATATCATTGCACACTGCAATATTTTGGTATCTTGTCTACTGGACTAATACGGCTAATCCAATCTACTATATATATATATAGTTACACAAAATCTAAATTATGAAAAAGGGTAAAAAAAAAAGAACAAAACAATCTAAATGAAAATAGAAAATACTTGAAAAAATATGAAAAAATAGTTTCAAATCTAATGTACAATGTGATAAATTCCAATAACTATATAGATGTATCTTAAGCCAAACTACAACCTAAACACATCCAAACAAAAGATTTAAAATTTAAATAGGGCAATATATTGGAAATATCTTCAAATAGTTTTTTGACTATTTTTTGCATCAACTGCGGAAACAAATATGTAAAATTGATGGACTTAATTTTTTTATTTTTGTGCAGATTACTGTGTTGTTATATAATCTTTATATGCCAAAGTGAATGCATTCAATTGATTTGCAGCCTCGCCTATACCCCCCACTTTTGCCCCAAAACCCCACTAAAGCCGCATTCCCTCCACAGCAGCCCCTATTCCTCCACTACAGCCCCTATTCCTCCACTACAGCCAGTGGTGGAACTAATGTAACACAAGGGTGGCCATAAAGTAGGTCCTCAACTCCCAAAATGCCCTCACAGCTGGGGATCTACCATTTGCCCATTACTGTAGATTGTGAGCAGTATCTGTACTTTTGAATGTGTGCTTTCCTGTGTTTGAATGCAGGGATTTATGTGTGTATAGTATTGGTATTTAAATACAAGGGAGTATTTGTGTGTAGGGTTGGCAGTTAAATGCTGTGTGTTTGTGTGTAGTGGTGGCATCTGAATGCAGAGATGCATACATACACTGCTACATACATATACTGCCACACACAGTGACACACATAAACACTGGCACACATAGTGACACGCACTGATATACAGATACACATAAACACTGACACAGACACAACTTAAAATACAGATACACATAAACACTGACACAGAAACACACTGACATACAGATACACATAAACACTGACACAGATATACACACACTGACATACAGATACACGTAAACACTGACACAGATATACACACACTGACATACAGATACACGTAAATATTGACACAAACACACACACAGAGACATACAGATATATATAAACTGACATACAGATACACATAAACACTGACAGAGACATACTGGCAAACAGATACTCATAAATTGCAGTGCCTGTTATTCTCCCCCCAGTACTAACTCTGGCTTAATCCACTCGCTCCAACCACACTTAAGTAATGAATAATAACCCCTCACCAGTGGTGACAGCCAGCATAATTGTCCCCTATACAGCACTACTTTCCCAGGTGGCCCTCAGCTCCTCTTGCCTCCAGGGATTCAAGACTGCATCTTCAAGAGAATGATGCAGTGACTTGTAAGCTCTGCCTCCAAATAGTCTCTGTGACAGCAGGGTCTTCTACTGATGTCTGAAGAGCCGTCCGCATTGGCAGCACAGGCAGAGAAGCGTAACTACAATCCCTCTCACTCCAAAGAGCAGCTGCAGTTCCCCCAAACTTTACTGGGCACTGGTGCGGTCGCACTGGCTGCATCACTGCTAGTTCCACCACTGACTGCAGCCACGAACCCCCACTAGAGGCTCTGTCCCCAACTACAGCTCCTAACCCCCCCAGTACAGCCCCTATCCCGCCTACATTGTAGACACTATCAGTGAGCTTCTTAGTAGAGTAATGTGGGTATGCGTGTGCCAGTGAGTTTGTCAGTAAGATTGTCAGTGAAATTGTGTTAGCTAAATTTCACATGCATGTGAGTATGCACACTATATCACAATATAATTATTTTTTTTACCAATCTGGTGGTAGGGGGGAGGGGCCTGTGATGTGATTGTGTCACTGGCTCCAGTCAAAAAGTGGCTGGCCCCATCCAGAATGGATGCCAATATTACTGACAGGTCAGCCTGACAGGACAGAAGCATTATGTGCAGAATGCAGGCTGTGAATACATGACAGGCTGCCTGCCAATCATTTTAGCAGGCCTACTGTTACAGTGCTCCCTGCAGTGTCCTGGTGCCCTGTACAAAGCACAAGCTCGTCCTATGATGTGCTTGGTCTATGATTGAAGTGAATAACATTGATTGTTATTGTACAGCGCTACGGAATGTGATGGCGCTATATAATTAATAAAATAATAATAATTGTATGGTTACAATGGCACCTGTCAATTGGGTGGGATATATTAGGAAACAAGAATACAGTAAGTTCTTGAATTTCATGTGTTGGAAGCAGGAAAAATGGGCAAGTGAAAAGATATGAGTGACTCTGACAAGGGCCAAATAGCATAGTGACTTTGACAATGGCTAGATGATTGGGTCAGGGTATATCCAAAACAGCAAGTCTTGTGGGGTGTTCCTGGTATGCAGTGGTTAGTGCCTACCAAAAGTGTTGTAAGGAAGGATGTCAGTGACATGGGCACTCAAGTTTCATTGATGCACATAGGGGACGATGGCTCGCTGCCAGGACTGATCACACAGAAGAGCTGCTGTACCACAAATTGCTGGAAAACTAAATGCTGGCCATCAAAGAAATGTGTCAGAACACACAGTGCATCGCAGTTTGCCGCGTATTTGTGGCTGTGTAGCCATAGACTGGTCAGAGTGCCCATGGCCAAGGTGACCTCTGTCCAATGTTGAAAGTACCTTCAATGGTGACAAGAGCTGGACCATGGAGCAATGGAAGACGCTTGCCCGATCTGATGAATCAAGTTTTCTTTTAGATTAGAAAAATAAAAAAGGAATGTGAGCAAACCAAAACAAAAAGGGGGACTTCCCAACTGGTAAGTAAATCACAGAGCATTCAGTATTATATTATAGGCTACCTATAACAAAATAATCTCACATCCCTCATCCCACAGAGGATTAAATAAAAAAAAAACTAATCTGCTAGGGTTAACAGTTAAAATCTATGAGAGCCACAGTAGCTGGAAAGGAAGCTCTCAAAGGATAAAAGAAGCCGCTATACCTCAGTTGCTGCTAACACTGCAATAACCTATTACCAATAACAATGCTGCTGTGGGCACCATAAACACTGTAAAGAGATAGTCGGCAGTGTCTGCAAATAACAACAAGGCAAGTGGAATCTCAAAAGGTGAGTATCTCAGTTGCTGCAAGTGGAGCTACAACCTCCTACCGTCCTATATTGGGCTACAAGTCATCACCCTACCACTTGACTAACAACATGGTGCAGAATGTGCAAAATAGAAAAATTACACCCGCCCCTCACAAATTTTGAATGCTCTTTTACTTACTTACCAGTTGGTTCCCTACCATTCCTTATTTCTTTTTTCTATTGTTACCTATGGGATTATGCCTAAAATAGTCTGGTCATATCTACACTGACACCTTATTTTGCTTTCATTTAGTGTTTAGCAAAAGAATCTGTCTTCATGTCCAGTTTAGATTAGGTGAATGGGCTGGTGCATGTGTGCGTTTTTTTACCTGGGGAAGAGATGCCAGCAAGATGCATTATGTGCAGAATGCAGGCTGGCAGAGGCAGTATTATGCTCGGGGTCATGTTCTGCTGGGACACCTTGGGTCCTGGCATTCATGTGTGATGATACTTTGACATGTACCATCTACCAAGAGATGGTTGCAGACAAAATATACTCTTTCATGGCAATGGTGTTCCCTAATGCCAGTGGCCTCTTTCAGCATGATAAGGCACCCTGCAAAGATTGTTCATGAAGGAATTACGAAATACATGCCTCGATGCATCAGAGCTGTTTTGGCAGCACATGGGGGACCTGCACAATATTAAGTAGGTGGTTTTAATGTTGTGGCTGGTCTATATATATAATTAAATATACACAGTTACAGTTATAGAGTAGGACCTGCCAAGAATGGGGGTTGTGGCAGGCTTATGCAATATATGATCATATAATGTAACTAAACCCCCATTATTTTTTGCCTAGGTGAGGTGTTTTTAAAAAAAACTATTACAATCTCTAAGATTTGAAATCATTGTTTAGTGAATAAGCGAGTGCGCTGGATTCTGTATTTTGTATATTTTGGCCCCAGCAGCACCCTATAATGTAAGCATGTTCAGGTGAGCGCAGCCCTCTTGGTTTATTTTATATATATATAGACTGAACAAAATTATAAATGCAACCCTTTTGGTTTTACCACCATTTTTCATGAACTAAACTGAAAGATCTAAGATTTCTTCTATGTACACAAAAGGCCTATTTCTCTCAAACATTGTTCACAAATCTATCTAAATCTGTGTTAGTGAGCACTTCTCCTTTGCCAAGATAATCCATCCACCTCACAGGTGTGGCATATCAAGATGCTGATCAGACAGCATGATTATTGCAAAGGTGTGCCTTGGGCTGGCCACAATAAAAGGCCACACCAACACACGCGCTAACAGACACACACACTTTCACTAACAGACACACTAGCACACTTACCAACAGACACACACACTAACACACTCACTAACCGACATACACACTCTCACTGACACACACTCTTTGACAGACACACATACACACTCACTAACAGACACACACACTAAATAACAGACACACACACTCTCACTAACAGACACACAAACACTCTCACTAACAGAAACACACTAACACTCACTAACAGACACACTCTCACTAACAGAGACACACACTCTCACTATCAGACACACACTAACACTCTTTAACAGACACACACACACTCTCACTAAAAGAGACACAGATACTCTCACTATCAGACACACACTAACACTCACTAACAGATACACACTAACACTCACTAACAGACACACACACACACACTCTCACTAAAAAAACACACACACTAACACACACAATAGAGTTCTATTATTTGCCTTTTTTGGTTGATTTCTTCCCTGGGGTCAAGTGGGGCTGGCAGGGCAATGCAGGTGGTCTGGCAGGCGCACAGTTCAGGCGGGCAGCGAGGGAGCTCTGACACGCCTGCCCAGCTCCCTCACGCGCCCCTTAGTGATGCTG